TTGTCTTGGTAAAGTTTGTCAAAAAACACTTTTTCCTTTATAGATATGATCATCTGATGTTCAATAGTCAAATTATATATAATTAAGAAAGGCTGCTGCATAGGCCTTTTTTAAAAAAAGTTATTCTGTATTTATTATTCTGCATTTCGTAACTGAGATTCTATTATGGGTAGGGCTTCATTGTCCCACCAGATGACCATGGACCAGAAAAGCTACTTTCATGGCAGGACAGGATCATATATAATTGCCAAGTTGATGTTACTTTAAAGAAGTTGAGTTGCAATAGCTTTTTGTGCACCTAGAGTTTGGGTTTTGCATTTTTGAATGTTTATGTATCACTTTGCTTGAATCACTTTAATGTCTTCTGTATGTAAAAAAAAAAAAGCCAAAAAAATAAAAAAAACAAAAAAAACAAAAAAACAAAAAGCAAAAAACAAAACTTTTTTTTTTAAGTTTAACAGAAATAGGACATAGAAAACTTATAAGCACACAAGCATATACATGACACAGACCAGAAGGAGAGTAGGTGATCAATGCATTGTCTGCAAAGGCCTTTTTGATTCCAGTCTTCTAAGTATCACAATGCAGGTACTAAGCAATAGTGGCTTTGATGGCTGAAAACTTTTTGTCTAAGCACCAAATGAGATTCATAAGTAGATTTGTCCATGCAAGGGGAGAGAAAAATTGAGATCAGAGCTATGGTACAGGAAAGGGAAACCTAATTATTTCCCACTATGCCACAATCCTAATATAAATTTTCTTTTCAAGGGCTATTATGAACTAGAGAGAGAAATATACAAGTAGAATGACTCCCTTTTATTTACCACAGAAGCTTTATAAAACAACTGGGAAAAAAAGTCTGTTAACCACCCTAGTTCCCTTACTCTTGGACTAAAGTGCCCTCAGAAATGTCTTTGTGGATTTGGAGAAAATGATTTGGTGACTTCTGCATGTGTAATGTTCAGGTGGACCCTGTACAGATAAATAATTGGATACCCATCTATGGAGGTTTTCAATAAAACTGTCATTTCTTTTAGGCATTGTTTTAGGGTAACAGCTTTATTTATTTGTTTATTTACACTGGCTTTTATGCTCTGCAGTCTAGAGACTCTAAGTGGCTTACAACAAATACAGAATGAGGACTTAAACAATTACAGGTCAACAATAACCACCAGCCCAATGTTGTTATAACTTGATGGTAGTGTAATCTATCTCAATCCCAAATAACCTCATAAAGAGCCATATTTTAACTTAAGAGGAAGATGTGGTCTAAATATCCTGCAGTAGGCTGTTCCAGAGGAGGGAGGCATCACTGAGAGGTATAAATTGCAGGATCCCTTCAGACATTCCTTCATTGGTGAGACCCTAAATAAGCTTTTTCTCCCTGATTTTGCTGGATGTACAAATTCAAGGCAGAAAAGGCAAATTCAGAGTTAGCCATTAAGATCTTTAAAGGTGACGGCCAGCACCTTGCACCTGGATGCTGATGACAGCACTGCAACTTCCATTAAATGAATGCAGGTGTGCTTTAAATACTTCAGCTGCTGCATGCTGAACCAGCTGAAGCTTGCAAATGATCTCCTGTAAAGCCTCCTGTTCTAGGATTTTCTGCACAACTGGCAGAAAAAAAAAATGTAATTGTGAAAAGATTTTTTTTTCCCCTATATCCTCCCCTGCTTTTAAACAGGTGCCATGAACCCTAGACATACTCCAGATTGCAAGCTAGCTGCATTTGGGGGAATACACTCCATCAAGAGCTAAAGGTAGGCCATTTCTGGAATCAGAGGGCTTCCCAATTCACAGCAGCTCCATTTTTCTGGAATGAAGTCTAAGCCTGTTTTTTCATATCCAGATCCTAACAGTTCTGTGCTGAGTTAGGACCTCTATCATATTTGCACAGCCAGGCACGGAGATGTTCAACTGGGTATCACCTCCACATTAATATTTTAATGCAAGCCCTGCAATACCCTAAACATAGTGTCCAAGGGCTTGATCTGCCCCTTCCCCACCAACTGGAACTGATTGCTTGGGAAGGAGCAATATAGTGCACCTCAACCAATCCTTCAAGCCAATCTAGAAGGAGGCCAGAGTTGATGGTGTTGAATGCATTTGAGAGACCCAGCAGGATCAGGAGAGTCATACATCCCTTACCTAGTTTTGTCAAAAGTCAACAAAAATGAGGTTTCCATTTGATATCCACTAGATTGCCAATGCACCTTTCTTCCAGTTCTAATTTCTAGTTAAGTGGCAGGCAGAACATTCCTCTATGGTGCATTTGCTTTTCCACTGTTGTATCACTTACCTTTTAATGGGAGGAGGAAGGGAAAAAGAAAAGAAAAGATGATTGACTTTCCTTATTACTATGCCAGTTTCAGATTTTGGAGTAGTTCAGTTTATTATATGATGCTATGGCTATAAAACAAATACTTGATAAAACAAGGTAAATAAGATGTACAACCCTTTTCTCACTGGATCCATTTGAATGGACTGGATGGTTTTTAGATTGTTACATTCTGTGTGAATCATCCATTATACATTTAAAAACCATTTTAGATTTAGGAACTTTTTCAGCTTCCCAATCTAGATTATAGAGAAAGTGACAGAAAATAATAGTTCAAAGCCAGTTATATTCTGGCTAGAGACTGTGCAGACAAACAATAGACTAGGAAAATTTAATTCAGTTTAATTTTGGAGAGATGTATTGGAATGGAATCATTTCCTAAAGAGCTGATTAACATTAATGCATTTTACTATCATATTATCTAATGTTATATATAAAATTTTATGTCAGCATTTTAAAGATTTTTAATATTCTGATAATAAAATTGAGTGCTGCCACTAATTTTATATTCCATAATAAAAATAAAAATATCTGAGCAGGGAAATTAGTTATTTTTAAGAAGGGAGGACTAGATGTGAATATCATTTGGTTTTGTATAACACAGGTTGATTAGCAAAGTTAAACTGAACCCTATTTTATACTTGGATTTGTTCGATTTTAACTTTTTCAGATTTCTGCCAGTGAGAAAATTGTGAGCTCAACAAATTTCTAAATGAATTTTGAAAAGTAACAACTGTGAATACAAGTTGACTATTAAGGTTTTGCAAAGCTTTGAAAGGATCCTTCAGTTCATGAGATTCTATCAGATCATCCATTCAAATCAAATCTATCTGAAGTGATTCAAGACATTGAAGTGAATCAGATGTTTTAAATTGCTTCAGAGTTCAAAGATGATTTGGAAATTCAGCATATGTTCCACGGTAACAGAGTCTTAAACATTATTGCAGATTTTCTTCTATAAAGGGGCCAAGCTCGGTCTGAATAACATCATGGTCTCTGATATTGACTTGAGTCATTGAGTTTTATCTCCTTCATCAACCCTGCCTATCAGAGTACTTGGGAGAATATTGCTATGCTGTTTGCATTTCTCACTTTTCAGTTAGAATTTTTTAAGGCAGGTCTGCTTGGAAGGAGAAGGGAAGAGACATCTTTGGGTTTATTCTGTTCTTTTTAAATCTGGTTTGTTCTTTCTCTGTTATCACCTTTCCCCAAATCCATATCATTCCTTAACTGCCAATCTACTGTATTTGTCTGAATGGCAAGACAATCCCTGCAATTCCTCAGCTCTTTCAGTTTCTCCTTTATTCCCTTGCATTCTCCCCACTGTCCCTTCAAAATATTAAACGGGACAAAAGGCTTGTTTTTCTTTCTGTTCTTTGCCTTGGAGTGAATTTCCTTCAGCAAATGAATGAGTCTGAAATAAAGTGCTTGCTTTTTAGTCTATTGCATATAACAGAATATTTCTTTATATAGTGTTGTATCATATACACAGAATTCATAATGTACTTCCTTCTCACACTTGCTTTAAATTGTTCCACGAACAATGTGACTAAACTTGCCAATAGGCAAGCCAATAAACTGGTAGGTCCTAAGGAGTAAATGTTTAGCAAAAGATTTATTTATTTATGTATTTATTTACTTACTTATTTATTTATTTATTTATTTTTAATGGAGTAAGATATTTTCTGCAGTGGTTCACTACAGTTCACTATAGGCTTTTTGCTGACAATCTGAAGGTCTCTGTAGTCTGTTTTCCCTAAACCTATTACTGCCTGAAAAGAAATGCAGGGGATATTTTAAAATTTGATTGTGGTAGAATTCTTGAAGCTATGTAACCAACACTTTGCATGGTTAATATCCTATACAGGTAGTACACTGTTTGCTTATTTTCATCCCATTTCCCCAAGTGAAGCAGTTGCAAACATTTTGATAATTTCCCATAATACGCCATGGTCAATGTTTTAAAATTTAATCAAATACTGAAACTTGAATCAGTTTGAATATTTCTTTACCTGATTCTTGAATCACAAATTCAAATAAAATCTTACAGCTATTGAATCTCTAATTCCAATCCAGTGATTCCACAAATTCTACAATCAGTCCATGCTTTTATTCTAATACATTTTAGAAAAATAAAATTATTTAGATTCTAAACAATATGTAGAGTCATAAGCAACAATAAAATCCTAAGTTATGTGTATGAAACTGGACAATTTATCTGGAAAACAGCTAGGAGACTTAGGACAACTGTAGGAAAGTGTAGCATGTTTGATTTGGGGATTTATCTACAACTGGTGATGGAAAACACCTTTTACTTTGATTTTCCCCCAACTTTCCAGTTCATCCAAATTCCTTTTCATGTTTCTAAATCCATTCATATATAATTCCATATAATTGCATTTATGTTATAAAACAAAGTGTGTGTGATTGTGTGTGTGTGTGTGTGTGTATATATATAT